AACTGTCGCTTAACTGGCTTTTCAATGTCAAACTGAGTAGCGCAGTCATCCATGCTGTTTAAGTGATTTTATACAAACTTCAAAGTGTGCATTACGACTTCAACACGGACGGCAAAGTGTGTAATTCATTGTTATCGCTTTGAAAATTCTTTATCGACGTAAAAAAGGCTGTTAAGATGCTCTTATTGTTTCAAATACGAATAAAGACAGCTCTGGAATTCATGTTATCCTAGATTACACCAAACACGAACATGAATCACACCTCAAAACAAAATGGCGGTCGGCCAAACAACAAATACCTCGCATACCATCAAATCGCTTCGAACGTCTCTACAAAAGCTTAAAATCAATATAATCATGTGTTGTATTCACAAAAACAACATTTTTTCTTGGTAGAATTCATTCTATATATGGAAAACATTACTTAGAAACTTATAATTTATTCTAAACCCGAGTGAACTCGGGTTTAGAATAAATTACACACTTTGTCGGTCATGAAGTCGTCATGTGGACTCGGGGGGGAGGGGGGGGGAGTTTGTTTGCTTTACAAACTCAGGTTTTAGAGCCTAACGCTTAGCTAACGTTAACCCTACCCTACCCTAAACCCTAACTATTCTAACCCTAACCCTAAATCAAGCAACCCTAGCCCCTGTCTTAGGCTATAGGAACCCTAACTCTTGCATAAGGCTGGAACTATGCTAAAGTTTGGGGGAGGGGAGGGTACAGTCTGTAACTAAATGTCGACTTTTTTCCGCTTTTTAAAAGGAAATCACGAGAAATAACTAGCAAACATGATTATTTAGACCAGAAACAAATGATTGAAGCGATTTTTTGTCAATTTTTCGAAAATTTCAAAAATATCCTAAATCGTCACTTAAGTTGTTTTAGCATCCGCCCCTTCAATTGTATGTCATATTTTCATTGTATTTTAAGTAATATATAAAATATGAGCGGGAGACCTGCAAGCGAGCAGTTTTATAGCCCATAAAGGTCAGACGTGCTTATTTAAATTACAACATAAGCTAAAGCATATTTCAAAAAAAACTTCAGGATAAAATATCATTTGTAAGAGAAAATCGAAGTTAAAGTCATATGCAAATCAGGACAAATCTCTTGCTCATATAAAGATGCGGTCACGGCAATGATTTTCCAATTGTGTTTACCTTATGAATTATTAATGAATTTGATAACTTGATTAAGTGCACTCAAGGATGTACAACTCACAGCTGTTCTCAATTCGTTAAATTTGTAGCTGAAAAGCATCCAGTAGACTCAACCATCAAATCACTTGCAAGATGTCTGTCGTTTCTGGATACAAGTGATCCACAGCAGTTACAAGACTGGCTGACAAGAATTGTCATTGGAATAGAAGAAGATCGTGAAAACACTGGAAAGATGGCTGACAACAGGCTGCTCCTACAAGCACTAGCATCTCATCTTGTGAGGGAAGCTTAGTAAGTCAAAATGTCATGTGACTAATGATGTACATGTTGTAGTTCAGGTTCAATATAAAATATAAACTGATTTGTACTGGATTGAGTTATATTGGACTGGCCCAAAATAAACTGAACCAGTTMAGAAGAAATTGAACTGGTTCAAAATCATATTGAACCTGAACTACAACATACATRTTAATGAATGTTTATAAGGTTTGCACTTTATTGTTTTTATGAATAATTGTTGAAAATTGCTGCTCTTTTAAGACTTAAAAGTCCCATGCATTCTTTGTTATTTCTTTGCTCTGWACTGTGARTATTTTTTCCAGAATTCACTCAAAYTCAGTAACTTACTATATTCTGTTTCTTGTCATGGTATCTGTTTTGCAAAAAAAATGCTTCAAACTGTATCAAGATTTTGATTCTCAACAATTCCTTTGTAACTTTATAACTTAGAGATTGCCTAGTAAGCAATCAAAGATGTACATGTACAATGTATTGTAGCTCGAAAATCTGTCACTCACTCACTCACTAACTCACTTTCCTGTAAACTGGAAATGGCAATAGATACTTTAGCTTATATTTGTGATAAGTTCAATCTGTGATCAATGTTAAGTAATCATATATGCTATCTTTATCCCCTAGTCTAGTAAAGGACTCTACTTGTACAAGTCTACTAGATGCTTTGATACCCATTGGGGATAAGTTAATGTCTATGATGAGTTSTAAAACAGCTTGTGCAGGAGCCAAACTKGGYGATGTTATCCATGCAGCTTCTATACTTGCAAGTGTTGACCAAGGAAAGGGTCATTCTAAACTSTGCAAGGCAGCTATTAAATGGCTGGATACATGGTAGGTGTATGGAATARTTACCCATTTAAGTAGTCACCCTAGGAAGTCACAATAAAGGTTCCCAATTTCTGCCTTTGGAAAGTCCCAAAGGTTAGTGCTTAATAGATGCTCCTAAAATGTAATTTGAGAACCATTTAGAGATATGATTCTCAAGGAGGTTAAAACTTCAATTTCTTTATTGTATTCTAAGCTCTGGAAGGGTTTATCCTTTAGGAGGGTTATTATCTACAATATAGATCCTTATGTGAAGAGATAAAATCCTCTTGCCCTTCAATAACTTGGTAAATTTGTGTGTTGTATTTACTCAGTAAGTACAGCTTGGAAAAGGAAGATCTTGACGTGAAAGCTGAGGGAGCTAAAGAAAGCAGTACCATGGAACTAGCTGGGCCTTTGTTGTCTTACTTGGCTGGGATGATTCTTGCATTGAAGTACGTATTAGAACAAGATACTCCAACGTCACCACTTACAACAACTCAAGGAAGCAATGATATTGTTGTACAAGACCTTGAGACGGAATGGATGGATGATATTGCAGCCGAAGAAGAAGAATCTGGTGGAGAAGAGTCTGTAAGTAATCTTGATTTGGCTTATTAGTGATAATGTTTATTATTAATTGGCATTAGTTATTAATAATCAATTTATTAAACAATCAATAAATCATTAATTCAGTCTGAGAAAGTAAAATTAGTTTTTGCTGAATCACTAGTAATCACTCTGTAATCAGTTGCTCATTGATCAATTGATTGATAATATTTTTTGTTGTCAATTATAACTAATTCATTATTTATCATTGATGAATTATTAGTTGAAATTAATATTATTTATGTCATGATAAATATAATTGATTTATTGATTGATTATTTGATTATAATATATTAATTATTAAAATTTCTTATTAGTAAATTATGAATTCAGTATCATATATATTAATTAATAAAAAATCATTATTAAAATAAATGTATTTCTCTTGTAACGGTTACGAACGTAGTGAGTGTGAGTGGAGAGAGAAATAATTTCCTTAGTGACGGAGGACTGGACACTAGTGCATGTGCTTGTATGCTAATTAGGATGTTGTTTATAAGGTCAAGTTGAAATTAATTCAATCATTGTGGTCTAAGTTCCTTTTGCTTAGTTTTCATAGGAGTGTGTGAGTTCTGTGTGATGGTATTTGTAATTTTAGGCTGTGTTTTTTGGAATAAAATGTTATTGGGCTTAGACCGCTCACCGCATACCTTGTGTCTGTTTTATGAACTATGGGACGGAGGAGTACAAGGAATTGATTTTATTTTTTTAGGATGAAGACTCACTATGTAACAAGCTTTGTACGTTCACCATCACACAAAAAGACTTCATGAACCAACATTGGTATCACTGTCATACTTGTAAGATGAACGATGGTGTAGGTGTGTGTACTATATGTGCTAAGGTCTGTCATAAAGACCATGATGTCTCCTATGCTAAGTATGGATCATTCTTTTGTGACTGTGGAGCAAAAGAGGATGGAAGCTGTCAGGTAAGAATTGGTCCATTGTTATTTACTAATAATTTATTATTTATTTATTTATTTATTTATTTATTTATTTATTTATTTATTTATTTATTTATTTATTTATTTATTTATTTATTTGCTATTTACTAATAATTTATGATTTTTCTGTTTCCCATTCATTCATCTTTTCATCCATTTTTCCATTCATTTCTAATCTTTCCTCTCTTCCCTCAAGTGTTACACAGTAACAACCCGTATCTGTAATTCAGTTGCCAGTGCAAGACATATAATTAAACATATCTATCTATCTAGTACCTAACCATAACATACTTTTTTGATTGCTTACAGTACTTAATACTGACCTTCTATTGTTAGGTTAGGTTTTGTTTTATTGTTTGGAAGACCATCTATTGTTTGTCCATTGTTTTCTCAACCAATCACAAGATTCCTTTTATTGTTGCTGACAGTCCCCTTTCTTCTGATTATTCATATCCACATACCATTATTCTCATTTTACACTCTCTTAATTTATTATCATGCAAATTATGTTTATTGTATTTATAATTTACTTTGCAGTCTTTGGTAAAGCGCAATCCAAGTCTATCTAAAGAAAGCAGYTCAACATCAGTGCATGCRTTTGCCAATGGYCAAGACACAGAAGACTGTGAYGARGTTGAGAGTCAAAGAAGAGAAAAGAGGCTGTCAAGCTCATCTCAAACTAATGTTGGAAGTGGTTTGGCTACAGATTTGCTGTCTGGTTCTACAGGAGAGAGTGGYCAAGATGATGCAGCAACACCAACTAAAGCTATCCAGACTCTTGCTAAGCAAATAGAGGTAAGCATAGATTGGAGTAGTTGTGTGAGATRAGTCTAACTTATGATAAGTCTTGATGGAAATTCTAGCAAACTCTTATTATCTAACCCAGAAACACACAGATGTGCTTGTRAAAGAACTAGAGGCCTCGTCTCTGAATGCCACCATTATAAAACTTCTGCAACTKTTGATGGGGCCAGTGATTAAGAATACAGGGACTACAAGCCAGGTGTATGGTGCAGCTCAGCTTGTCAGYAAAGCACTAGAAGATCTGCATTCACTGGAAAAGACAGTGGAGACTACAGAACAACTAATGGTRAGATGGTGATTCTGAATGAACTGATTTTTTTGTGTTGTTATTGTTTTTAATATTGTTGCTCCCTGCTCTTATTAAAATTATAGGTTTGTTTTTCTGTTATTGTAGCCATGGTAATTGTTTTTTGTTGTTTCCTTTGGCTGTTGCCATGGTTATTGTTTGTTTTTTTTTGGTTTTCTGTGGTTGTTGCCATGGTTACCATACATTGTTTTTAATCCAATTTTAATCTTTAATATACTAACTAACTTACTGTAACTTACTATCAATAATGCCTCCTAGGTTCCAACACTTGGCTCACAAGAAGGTGCATTTGAGAATGTGCGCATGACATTCAGTGGKGAACAAGGTCAAGCAATTAGACAGCTGATTGGTGCTCATGTATTACGCCGTGTTGCAATGTGTTGTCTGGCTTCTCCTAAAGGTCGACGTCAACATCTCGCTGTGAGCCATGAAAAGGGAAAGGTCAGTAAACTTAAAAATAAACTTTGATTCATTTAAGATTAAAACTGGTGTACTCTATTTGTTATCACACAAACTACTTTCTATATTCAATTTTGTTTACAAGCTGATAGGGTTWACAAAAATACCATAAATTAATGTTCATTTTATTACAGATAACAGTTCTGCAGTTATCAGCTCTTCTGAAGCAAGCAGAYTCCAGTAAAAGAAAACTAACCCTAACACGCCTAGCCACAGCACAAGTACCATTTACTGTGCTATCAATAACAGGCAACCCATGCAATGAAGACTTCTTGGCAGTCTGTGGACTAAAGGACTGTCATGTCTTGACATTTAGCTCTTCAGGGTCTGTGGTTGATCACCTTGCTCTTCATCCTCAACTTGAGACTGGAAACTTTATTATTAAAGCCGTTTGGCTGCCAGGATCTCAGACAGAAGTAGCTGTGGTAACAGCAGACTTTGTMAAGGTATTATAATGTAAAGAAATGAATGTAAAGCATTTCTTTACTACAGACAATATTCTTTCATAATAGGCTCTTTTGAAAACAGTTCTGGGTGTATCTTGAAAGCCATGGCTTGGCATTGAAGAGAGACAAAAACTTAGTGTGCAATGTAGATACCTTTTGTTCACACCTATGGACAATGATTATCTATCATTGCAAGCTCACCTGTTGTCTCACTTTGATGCAAAGGCACAGGTTACCTTGCAAGATGGCAGAGGGACTGTGTGGAAGACTATTAAATTATCTAACCTTGCTTACTTTAGAATTATAATTTAGTTTTTCTCTTCATTTTTCCTGTATAAGAGTTTAAGAGAAGGTTTCCTTTAATATGTTATAAAAACAAGCATGTTTCATCTAATTTGATTCACTGAATACCTTGAAGTATAGTAGYTTAAATCTCTTCATTTGTCCTGTATAATAGTATATGTCATGTAATATATAGCTGTAAAAAGAAGCAAKTTTTATYTAATTTRACAGTCARCTGTGGTTCWTTTTTTGATTAACTCAATGYCTTGAAGTAATTTCACRAAAGTGCTGWAAAAATTMTTCTCTATTCTTTGTTTCCATTYTGTCTTCTTTCACAKCACTCCTCTTTGCTCTCTCAAAKAACATGTTCTTTCTTGTTTTTATAGATCTATGATCTTTCTAAGGATGCCTTGAGCCCAGTCTTTTACTTTGTGCTTCCAAGTGGCAAGATACGTGATGCAAGCTTTGTATTCCATGATGGTAGCCGTAGTGATGGTAGCCGTAGTGATGGTAGCCGTAGTGATGGTAGCCGTAGTGATGGTAGCCGTAGTGATGGTAGCCGTAGTGATGGTAGCCGTAGTGATAGTAGCCGTAGTGATGGTAGCCGTAGTATGGTCCTAATGTCATCAGCAGGCTATATATACCATCAGCCCATGGATGACGATAGCAGTGCTACTGGAGGTCCTTTCTATCTCACCAATACCATTCCAGTACAGCATAGTGATTTGGAGGACACCAATGGACAAGTAGCTGGTGGAGGGGTGTCTGTCTACTATTCTCATACGCTTCAGATTATGTTATTCAGCTACACACAGGGTGAGTGGGTCTTGACAACATTATTTAGTTTAGTTTTCTCTTTCATTTCTTCTATTCCTCGTTCTTTCTTCACATCAATGTCTATGATGGCAAAAGGGTTAGATGATCAGATACTTTTCTTAAAGGACCAAGAAAGGAACAAGAGCATCCAATTACCATCTCAACCCCACCAGCGAGATGGGTGTAATTCCATCCACAACATCATCAGGGGGAGATCCTGCTGGTTGGTGCAGGGGGTGCACACCCCCCCCTGAGATCTGTATACTTCAATACTTTCCTTATTTTGTATCTTCATGGTAATGGTTTTTGTGGGTTGCACCCCCTCCTGAGAGCCCTGCACCCCTCCCTGAGGAATATCCTGGATTCGCCCCTAATCATTGATATGTCTTACATAGCTTGATTTATATAAATTATACTTATTTCAAAAAACGTTGTCAGGGAGAACAGCAAATGAAGATTGTTGAGGGAGATTGCACGACCGAAAGGACTTTGGTTACACTGTATTGACAAACAAAATTTTTACTTATTGGATTCTCCTTGCATAGGAACGGTGACTAAATGACTTCAATATTTACCACAGGCTATCTTACAGTATAAATCAGTTGTTATTTCTCATCAATTAGCAAAACCCATGGCTACTTTCGGTCATGCAATCGCCGTTCGACAATTGACATTCGCGTTATTTCTGACAACCTTGTTTGAAATAAGTATGTTAAGTTTTATTGTATTATGACAGGTAAAACCTTCATGGCTCCTTGGGTTCCTGGTCAAAAAGAAATAAACAACCTATTTCCAATCAACTTCAAAAGTAGTAATGGAGGGAACAAAAACAGCCAGGCAGCTTTGTACCAGTGGAATGAGGTTCCTCAGCATCCAGGTCTTGTGTGCTGTATGACCCATAGTAGTGGGGTTCCTGTGGTGCTCATGATCAAGCCAGGACAAGTACTGGTATGTAGGGGGTTGGGGTGGGGATTGGTATTGTCAGCTGTTCATGAATCTGGTCTTTACATAAAGATTATCATGCTGTTTGTATTATTTGTATAATTTTAATGAGGCTTAATGCAATTTAGGCAAAGTTAAACTTGAGGCTTGCAGCTCAGCATGCTTGCAGGTCCACGTGGTATCTTCATGACCAATTTCAGGCACCACATTCCATACATATCAATGCAGATGAGTTTTATAAGTGGAAATGCACTCATTGAGTTTACAGTGATGCCTGAATTACACAGTACAATTGTTGTGTGCAACTTGTGGTATACAAATCTAATGACTGTGTAAATGCCTCTACAACTTGCCTGCAACACCTTGCCTACAGCACCTATGACCTATTGTTGAAAAATCATACACTAGAAGTCACACACGACAATCGCATAGTTTATATCATGCCAACAACAACTGTTTTTTTTACAGATTCAGGAAATTAAAGCAGCGTCCTCCAAATCTAAGACACAAGACATGGTGGCCATCCGTCACTCAGTCAACAGCTCAGACCAACAAAGAACAACAATGATCTTACTCTGTGAAGATGGCAGTCTACGTATTTACATGGCCAATGCTGAACACACTGGCATCTGGATGGCTCCCTCATTTCAACCTGCAAGGTATGATTTATCAAACCTACCAACAACAACACTACTACTACTATGCAATACTAATTTTTTTGGATTGAAAGTAAATGACTGCTGATTTGTTTGACAGCATAATTCTTTTCTGCATAGACCTGACTAAACATAAAAGAGAGCATGACAAAATATCATTATTACAACAGCCTTGAAAATTTACACTTTTTTGCCAAGTTGAGACTAACCCTGTATTCCCATTAGATCTAGTATGATTTAAGCCTTTTGAGAATACAGCTGGGTTAGCCTCAACTTGGGTAAAATATAAATTGTTAGGGGTATCATTATACTTACAACATTTCTTTTGCTTTCTCTTGTGTTTGTTTGGTTAGGTCTTTGCATAAGAGAACCTGCCATCAAATAAAAAAGCTGTTCATCTTTTCTTTATAATTTAAAATTGAGTATTAAAATTAATACTGACATAATTATTTTTATATTTTTATTATTTTTAGGCCTTTAGCTGTACTGCGTCCAGTGAAAAAGAAAAAAGTATGCAAAACAAGGACCAAGTCTTCCACTGTTCATCTCCCTATAGACTTCTTTGAACATTGTCAGGTTCTCAATGATGTTGAGTTTGGTGGACCTGACATCCTTCATGTTTACAATGCACAACAAGCCAAACACAGGCTGATGACTGCGGGGATGTACCTAGCAAGTACTAAGGTACATTCATGTACATCTATATGTTGGATAATTTAGTTTTACTATATACACTGTGTACATTGTATATTGTACATGTATTCTTCGTTTTCAAGTTACGTCACAGCGGCCATCTTGGACGAAATACAGTAAATGATGTTTTCATTAGTCTCTATTGTTCATTCCTTTAACATGGCCGCCAGTCTTTTATATTTCGAATCTCATGTGAATGGTTGAAAATGATCAATTGCTCTTTCAAATACACTTAATAACAGTGCTTAAAATACTTTGTATTTGTTTTATCTTATACAGCCCAGTGGTTTTAATATCGAGGTAACCAATACCAACCCAGGTCAGGTCATGGTTGGAGTGAGGATACTGGTCGGCTGTCATCCTCTTGAGAAAGTCCCTTCATATGTTGAGATATTTGGACGTGTTACACNTTTACATTAAAAAACGCTGTCATATGATAAAATGCTTATTGACTGAGTTAGGTCCGTACGGCATAACCTCGAGCCAAATATTTTCCCGTACGGCCCTCCCACTCAGTCAATAAGTACATATTTGGATTGAAAGTGAATGACTGCTGATTTATTTGACAGCATAATTCTTTTCTGCATAGACCTGAGTAAGAGAGCATGTGAAAATATCATTATTACAACAGCCTTGAAAATTTACACTTTTTTGCCAAGTTGAGACTAACCCTGTATTCCCATTAGACCTATGATTTAAGCCTTTTGAGAATACAGAGTTAGCCTAAACTTGGGTAAAATGTAAATTGTTAGGGGTATCATCATACTTACAACATTTCTTTTGCTTTCACCTGCCATCAAATAAAAAAGCTGTTCATCTTTTCTTTATAATTKAAAATTGAGTATTAAAATTAATACTGACATAATTATTTTTATATTTTTATTATTTTTAGGCCTTTAGCTGTACTGCGTCCAGTRAAAAAGAARAAAGTATGCAAAACAAGGACCAAGTCTTCCACWGTTCATCTCCCYATAGACTTCTTTGAACAYTGTCAGGTTCTCAATGATGTTGAGTTTGGTGGACCTGACATCCTTCATGTYTACAATGCACARCAAGCCAARCACAGGCTGATGACTGCGGGGATGTACCTAGCAAGTACTAAGGTACATTCATGTACATCTATATGTTGGATAATTTAGTTTTACTATATACACTGTGTACATTGTATATTGTACATGTATTCTTCGTTTTCAAGTTACGTCACAGCRGCYATCTTGGACGAAMTACAGTAAATGATGTTTTCATTAGTCTCTRTTGTTCATTCCTTTAACATGGCCGCCAGTCTTTTATATTTCGAATCTCATSTGAATGKTTGAAAATGATCAATTGCTCTTTCAAATACACTTAATAACAGTGCTTAAAATACTTTGTATTTGTTTTATCTTATACAGCCCAGTGGTTTTAATATCGAGGTAACCAATACCAACCCAGGTCAGGTCATGGTWGGAGTGAGGATACTGGTYGGCTGTCATCCYCTKGAGAAAGTCCCTTCATATGTTGAGATATTTGGACGTGTTACACCATTTACRCTGACCAGGAATCGCTGGTTTGATGTTCCTTTTACCAGAGAGGAATCTCTTACAGCAGATAAAAAGATAACCATTTTCTGTAAGTATGATGATGGTTGGTTGGTTGGTTAATTGATTGACTAATTGATTGATTGCATAATTGATTGATTGGTTGATTGATTGACTAATTGATTGATTGATTGGCTGATTTATTTAATTATTGATTAATTATTAATTGATTGATTGACTAACTAAATTGATTGATTGATTGGTTGATTGTGTGGTTCATTGATTGTTTGATTGATTAATTGACTAATTGATTGATTGATTTATTCCTATTTAGTTGGTCAGTCTGCAGACCCATCAGGCGTCTCCATGGTTGATTCCATCAAAGTGTATGCTAAAACCAAAGAAGTGTTTGGTTGGCCTGATGATCCCCATGAAGAATTCAGCTCCACAAGTGCTTCAGCAACAACCAGCTTATCCACCGTTGTACAAGAAAAAGAGCTTATCACTTGTGTTACTCCTGCAACACCATTTGACAAGTGAGTCTAAACACCTTTTTCTAACTATAATAAGATGAAACATAGTAAACTGGCATAATACAACCAATTTAGATTTAAAGCTTCTGTAAATAAGTGTAATTTAGAAGTTAAAACACTCTCTAAAACATTAATTTTTACTGTGCAACTCTAAAAACTAGAAAATATTTTTCTGTTGCAGGCTTGTTGTTCACTTGGTTGAGATCTTGGATGGGTCATTTTCTGCATTCTCAAATGTTAATGAAGAAACAAGAAAGCTTGCATTAGACATGGCAACATYGTTAATGACRTGTTCAGCTCCTTCATGTATTCAAAACCAAGCTAAATCACTCCTTGCTACACTTCATCCTTCCAAGCTGTCTTTCCATAACCATAAGGTAAAGCAAGCTACATGTATAATAATGTATGAATAGAATAAATAAAGAAAAAGCCACGCAACTTGTAACTAGGTTTTCTACTTTTTATTGTACGTTTCGGCACTTCAGTCTTCTTCAGCAAACTAATAATGTATAATAATGTATGTATACTATATGTACTTCAAATTCCAATGGTTACTAAATATATATTCTCAAACACCGCGGCTATGACTACCATCAACAGACTATTTTATTAACAATTTGACAACTCAACTGGCAACTATGTTAACATCAAGTTACAAAATATCTCTCCCTGGTTATGGTACAAAATTCTGAATGACTACAAGCACTGTACTAGGCTGGGCTGGCACTGTCTGTGCAAAAACTTGGTCGAAAAGCAACTTAACTACAACATTTTCCACTTTTTTKKKSC